GCTCTGATTCCAATTCTTGCAGATATTAGGCGTTATCTTCACGGGTCGTCTCCTTGATTAAACCCACGTTATCTGAGCAAACTGTGGGCGCCTATCTCTGGTCGCATGCGGCATCTAAAGTGGATTTCTAGTGCATTTTGGGCATAACGCCGAATTTCCGTGACGGTCTGCTTATCCGTCTGCCCAGCTCCCTGACTGCCAGGCCCCCAAAGTTGTACTGGTTTATTTAAAATGGGCATCACACACTGAAAACATCTTCGTTTAATTGCCGAATACCCCTGCCCCACACTTTCGTCATCACAATCCCTTTTTCTCCAGTCAGCAATAGATCCTTGATCCAGGCGTCTCCTTTCGGTTGGTCTTGCTCCATTCTTGTTTTCCCTGAGTTTGCTAAGGCAGTAGGCAAAGTTATCGCTAACTCTACCTTCCTCAAATCTCCTTTTCATTAGATTTGTCTCCCCAAGGATGTCAATGGCCTCCATAATCTTCCGATTCTTTGTATTGTCCCCGAATGGTGCAATTCTTTCTGTTGACTTCCAATTGATCTCGTGTTCAGTCTGTGCTATGTGTTCCACTAGTTCTGATATTTTAGTATCCATTTTTCTGTAGAGCCTTTGATGTTCCTTTATTCGTGTGCTAATTTTTCTCCCTGTTTCGCCATCCTCTACATTTATCGTAAATGGAATTTTTTATCAATCTGACAGTTCTGTGACCTTAAGAGACCCTACCACTCGGAAAAGGTTAATGAGCATCTTCACCAGGCTTCTATTCAGAAATTAAGTGAGACATATTATACTGAACGTTCTAAGTTGTTTAAGTTTGTAGATATTAAGTCAAAGCCCCAGCGTGATTTGGCCAGGATCCTGTCTCCAGAAGAGTTTCAAAAACTCCAGAGCATGACAGACAGGAAATCACGTCGGATTTCTGACTTAATAACAAAACGGTAGGACGATTAGTTGTGTAGGTTTGGGATTATTAGACAGCCTAAGTTAAAGTCAGTACGCTAAGTTGAAGTGGTTTCCGAGGTGACAACATTTACTGATCAGCACGGGAATAGGAAAAAATTATTAAACTTATCATCAATTCCTCTCATTCCTGAAACAACCGCGTTCCTGGAAAAAGGATTTATTTTTTCAATTCAACATCACAGAAGACTTCTAGAAGACATTCTGGTCGAGGTCAGCAATATTACTGACAAGTTCCTTGAGGAGACAAAATGGGAAACGGAGCCGGAACTAATTCCAAAGATCTTGACCCATCAGGAGCCTACACACAGGGGCAGATTTGCCGGGATACGCAAAACACTGGAAAAGAATAAACAATTAGTCCTTTAGGCGGACAAAGTAGGAGCTACAGTTATAATGGACAAAAAACAATATATTGGGAAGATGGAACAGATTCTACGAGACAGGACCAAATATCGTATGCTAAACAAGGACCCAACTATAAAGATCAATGGAATCTTAAGTGCCATGATGAAAGATATGCATATGAATGGGGAGATTGACGCATGGACAAGAAATGCAATCATAAGAAAGGATGCACGACCACCAACAGCATAAGGATTACCGAAGATACACAAGGAAGGCGGACCACTAAGGCTGATAGTCAACAACAAGTATGGAGCAACACACAAATTGGTCAAGTTTATATGTTTAAAACTCAAGAAATCTAACATCGTGAAACATTCATATCAATTTGCTTAAAAAATAAAAAAACATCG